ACTGCTGTTCCCGTTGACGCTTTGGAGTGCGTGGTACGGTGCAGCGTCTCGCTGGCGCTGGTGAGATGCGACGGCTCGCTGTGCGAGTGCGGCACGCCCTGTGCTGTTGTTTTGACCACATGAGCTTGCTTCAAGGCAGCTAACTATGGCGTGTGCTGGTTTGTTTTAATAGCCATGTGCGCTTGCCTTACGCCTGCCGCAGAGGCGAGCAGTGAGCGACGTGTTGATGTTTACTATGTGAGCAAACCCAGCGGTGTGCTGATGAATACTGGTGAGTCGTATCCATTTTATTACGATTCTGGGCCGATTGCCCTCTCATCAAAGATTGTGTTGTGGCAAAAGTGTAAAAATACCCCCATGATCATGTGAGGAAGATCTCCGATCACCAAGTTCCTGGAGAGTTAGATGTCATAGTTGATGACAGTGGTAGTGAGACCAAATTTGATTAAGAATGCTTGTATACTCATACTCAAAACTTTAGACCGCACCTCATGAGTAACATGTGGCGATGGGTCTGTAGGAAATCGTTGGTGCGATTTCTGTCTGTGTTGGTGCATATTTGGCGGCAGATATGTAGGGAATCGTTGGTGCGATTCTAGCATATGTGGCGGCAGATGTGTTGTAGCATATTTGGCGGTGGATATGTGGAGAATCGTTGGTGCGATTCTGGCATATGTAACGGCAGATATGTAAAGAATCGTTGGTGCGATTCTGGCCTGTGTTGGTGCACAGAGCCCCTTGTGTATTGTAGCATATGTGACGGCAGATATGTGGAGAATCGTTGGTGCGATTCTGGCATATGTGACTGCGGATATGTAAAGAATCGTTGGTGCGATTCTGGTCTGTGTTGGTGCACAGATTTCAATGAAAGTTTCACGAGTTGAATATACATTGCTTATGAATTGTAAAGAGTAACAAAATTGTTAAAATTACTGTGTTGGAACTTGTTGATCGGACCTTCCACGATAAATCATGTTGTGCAGGAAGCACTGTGTAAGAAGTCTTAATAACAGGGCATTGTCAATTATGACAGTTGACTATTGTACTTAGACTTAGGAGAAGTAAAGTACCATTTGGAATCTATTTATTTTTATAGGCAGGATAGCCGAGCTAAGTTATTCTCTGAGAATATTTTGTTCCCAGGCACTGCACCCGAGGACGGGTGCTAGTCAGGGATGGCCGTGTCGTGGATTGATGGCGCCATTGTGCTACAAGCAGCGCCATCTAACAATTACCTTTGCGAATCAATATTATCGTTACCGGAAACGCAAGCGCGTCCCACCGCTTGGACACGATCGTCGGTAGAGGGGATGCAGCGAGGGCTAGAGAAGGAACTGAGTGTTGTGGCAGTCGAGTTCGGACAGCCGGAGCGGACGCTCGCTACCGACGCACGTGTTTGTTTCCCGTGTACAACCACTAGTCTAAATAAAGTTATTTTGATTTAAATAATCTTTCGCTCGTGTGCCCACATTTACGTAAAACCATGTCGGAGCGTGAAGAAAACCCGATGCTTCGCATCTCGGCCACCCATGATCCGATATATATTTATAGCAAATTTCCGTCTATATCCACGATGCTAAAAACTTCGGCCCAGAATTTCTCTAGATCTGCTTCGTTAAATTTTATAATATGTTCATTTAATCTCAATCGTGGGATGCTACTTGCGTAGACACTCTGGCGGCCTCTCCTCTCATCTCAGGGGTACCTCGTTTAGAGCCGGCTGAGGCAGCTGAACTGAGTAAGTGGCGCAAATATGAGTCTCTGAGAGATGACTACATATTTGTGCCATTTGCTGTAGAGACTATTGGTCCGTGGGGTCCACGTGCGGTGAAGTTCCTAAAGGAACTCCATCCGCGGCTGGTCGTTACTGCTGGTGATAAGAGGGCTGGTTCTTTTCTCGCTCAAAGGCTAAGTATAGCCATTCAGCGGGGAAACGCAGCCAACGTTCTTGGCACGATACCGCGGGGAGTAGGACTATATGATAATTATGTTTCTAGTTTTAGTTTTTTATTATTATAGATCTCAAATAGCGCCATTCATTGTCCAACGCCTGCAATTTATTTTCTGATACTGATTGTGAAAACTTTTGTGATATGTGCAGAAGTGACGAAGGAGTGTTGCGTTGCTTAATTTTATATGGATTTAAAAAAAGTTAAATCTCTTATAATGTCATTATAAAAATAACAACGACGTGTAATTTGTTTGGATCCTTCTATAAAAAAATCAAGGCAGTATAGCCGAAATATGTGTACGTCACTTGGGATGATATTGGGATTCAAATTCAATAAATCATTTATTGCTTTAACGCCTCGATATACATCTTTGATTGGTTTGTAGCGTCTAGGATTTTCAATTTCGACTTTCGAGAGCTCGCTTTGTGTCAGATATGCTGTGTCAATATAAACAGTCTCAAGCTTTGGAACGTGTTGCAGACATTCTTGTGCAATTTATGTACTGCGGTTTTTCAGTTTGCATCATTTAATTAAGGTCATTAAAAAAACCTAAAGGAAATTCTAAAAACTCTAGGTACAGTTTATTAAATGGATTATTGAGCATTGTCAAGTAGCTGAGTTAAGTCGATCGGTAACAACGGCATTAGTGAAGAATAACTTGAGTGCATCGTATTATTCCAAAATTCTAGCAACTGCAGAGACAACCATCGAGTTCGGCAAGGGTGGAGAATCTTATGCGGTTTTACATTTACTAGCTCTTAGAATTGCTTTAACAGCTTAGATTGCTTTGGGTTATTGGTTATGTAATTATAAACATCTCTTACAAGCCCTTCAGGTTCTCTTAACAGTGTCGCACAAGCGTATGATGCGCAGAGATTGAATGAATGGCAAATGCATTTTACAGTGTATAGATGAGGGATGTCAGAGAGAAGCCGACTGCATAATGAATTATGTGCGCCCATCATAGCGTTTGCACCGTCTGCAGCTAACCCAAACATATTATTTTATAGGGGATATTATTGGTATTAAATAACTTAACAATATGATCATAAATATTTTTCCAGTGGCACTTTGCAAATACACAATCTAGTGACAATACATAAATGCTTAGTGCAACTTCTATCTGTGCTCTCGTCGACCAACAAAGAAAATTTATTATTTTTAAAAGTAATTATTAAGTTTTCTTTTTCTGTTATCCCTGTAACAGATTTGAGTCTTGCCGTAGTTTTAGTTCAGCTGCAAGATATTTTTTTAGCTATATTTGAATCTGGGCAGACACCCTTAAGTTGTGGAAGATGTTCCGTTATAGTCATGGGCAGATTGTGCTTTGTAATAAAACAAGCTAAACGGACTTCTCCTTTATTAGTATCAGTTAAAATATTAATATTTTGAAAATAATCATTCACGGGTCTCTGCTTTGACGAAACAGGATGGAACAGAATTTTGATGCTTTAATGTTTTAATATGACGTACCAAATCATTTTTACCTCCACCGGAGACGGCCAGGTCTTGTAAACAAAATTTGCAGAAAGTATGTTCCGCTCCTTTTTGATTTGCCATTAGCCAAGCTTTAAAGTAACTCTCTTCCATCCAGCTTTGGTTAAACGTTTGAGCATTACAGGGTTTCTTACTGGCCATTGTCCACAAAAATATTAAAAAATACCTATTTCACTTTATTTTCACTTGATTCGCGCCTTCGTTCGTGTGTATCAAACCAAACAAACTATGAAACTGTTTCGTTCGATACGCGATCCGTATAGCGTCGTCTCTGTAATACGAATGTGCCGAACTGGTATAAGTTTATTTATAATCCGGGGGACTCCCCGATAACAAGCAAGAGTGGATTTTTTACGCCAGTCAGTATTGCTAGCTTTGATTATTGTTAAGCCTCATACACACAGGCGTGATATTATCGAGTAGACTGATGAGATGAAAGCCGATCCTTGAAAGTATTTATGTACAAAAAGGGCAAATTTCAAAAATCTGTATAAAAATAGTATTAAATAGGTTATCTGTAATGAGGTTCAAAAATCTGTATGAACACAGATAAATATGTAAATATGGCAGCACTGATTTGACAGATTGATTCTTGTCAGTGAAATTAGTGACATAATGCAAAATCAAGTGACAGTGCAAGATCCCTCCCGCCGCCCGAGTGATATGTAAAAAAATAGATCCTATTACGTGCCTCTATATAAATTCATCAAAAATACAGTAGGGAAATTATAATAAACCGAATAAAATTATTCAAGACTTGGCCTAAAGGTCTGAATACCAGGCCATAAACTCCAAAAAAAATCAGTCGCGCGCATAGTTATCTTGTACCGTAGAGAGAGTATGCTCCCTCTACGTCTTGCGCGCACTATAGTTGCTACATATTTATTTATCTATGGAATAACATGGGATAGTAGCTGATTGGAATTTTGGCGGGAAATTAACCAGCGGCAAATGCTGTTCCAGTATTATTGTTTAAATAATGGCTTGAAGTGGAATTTGATATGTAAAAGCAGCTGATTATGTCAAGTATAAAGTGCATTGTTAAGAGTTTTGGCGGGAACTTAACCAGCCGCGGTTTGCTGCTCCTGTATTATAGTTTAAATAATAGTTTGAAGTGGAATTTGATATGTAAAAGTGGTGCGATTTTATGTATTAACTGTCTACGCATGTGAACTATTAGTGGAAACGGTGAAACAAGTGCTCTGATGGTGATGGATTCTCAAGATAAGCTGTTTGTTTGCATAGGCGCCTTTAGATACCATCGCCAACTGTGTCAGCTGTCTGCTGGCTCAAGTTGCCGTAAAAATCTCCCAAGGGCTGCACAATGTGACGCATCAACATATTGTGAAGCAGTGAAATTCTATATATTCAAAATAAAAAAGACAAGGCTGTATGGCATAGTTCCTTTGCCTGCTCTTACGAGCGAATAATAAAAACAACAACAACAACAAAGCAAAAGCAAAAGCATTGTTTAAATTAAAAATAAACTATTTATTTTAATTAAAATGTTATATTCTGTTATTATATTCATAACTTTTTCACTACTTTCAGCTGAACAAAATCTCGAACAAGGTTTCTGTGATATTTCATCTAACTCTTGTGAGAATATAAAGTCAAACCAAAAGTTTTTGTTTTATGACGTTAATCCTCCAGAAGGCTTTAATTTACGAAGAGATGTGTACATGAGGTTTGCAATAATGTTGGCTGAAGCCCAAAAGATTGGTAAAGGATTTAGTTGGCGTCTCGTTTTACCGCCATGGCATCGATTGTACCACTGGAAGTCTGAGACTTCTGCAAGCACTCCAATTCCATGGAGTGTGTTTTTTGATATTGATTCACTGAAATCATACGCTCCAGTTGTAGAGCTTCACGAGGTGTTTTCCAAAACGACGGATGAGTTGCTAGAAATAGATCGTCTATATGTTTTGCATAACTTCGAGGATGCTTTCGAAAATGGTGTGTTTAAAGAAAAATGGGAGATCACACAGGATTGTAATTATGTTGATCGGTTTTGGGGATACAGAAATGTGACTGTAAAGGAGATAGTATGTGTAAAGTTTCAAGGGAAAATATCTAAGTTATGGGAGTTGGTAGCTCTACATCCACTAGACAGAAGTGTCATGTTTTCGCATGGTGAAATACCATTACACGACTCTTACGGTACAAAGTCATACTGGGACTGTAGGAAAAGTATGAAGTTCAATAAGGATTTAACTAGAACTGCCAAAAACTTCATATCACAATTCTTAAGCTGTAAAACAGAGAAGTGCTCAACATACATAAGTATACACTGGAGAAGACAAGATTTTGCCCGTAGTAGACAACGGGATATCCCTTCACTGCAAGGCACAATCAAACAAATACATAAAGCTATAGAAAATTATGTCCCAAACATAGAAAAAGTTTTTATTGCATCTGATGCATCGACTACAGAAATTAAAGAGTTGGAAAGGGGACTCCAAGTATTAGGATATAAAGTATATTATTATGTACCTAGTAAATCAGACTTGGCTCGCTACAAAGATGGTGGCGTAGCAATCATAGATCAAATAATTTGCTCACATGCAGCTTACTTTATTGGCACACATGAGAGCACTTTTACTTACCGGATACAAGAAGAACGGGAAATACTTGGCTTCAACAGCAGCACAACTTTTAACAGGCTATGTCCTCACACTGGAAAATGTGAGAAACCTTCCATGTGGACAATAGTTAACTGAATTGTAAAGAAGTAGCTAGTTGTAGTCAACTGAAATGTAAAATTGAATTGTAAAATTTAGAGTTCCTATTTTCTTCTTTGTTACATTTATAATACCATTATGGTGCGGTACTTTTAGGTCCCATGTTTATGTGGTACTTATAACAAAAAAATTGTACCAACTGTGTTATTTGTCTTGCATAATGTAAAAGGCGACTAAAGGGATATTGGATTTGTATTAAGGAGTCAATAGGCTAGTCATCTGTTGCTTCTTTCACAACTTTCCATCTAAACCATTATTGGCTAATTGTATGGCGAATAATTTGTACATATTTTATCTTTCGTCAAGTCCAAAGTGTGGAAACTGGGAACAAAGGAAATTACAAATTAAGAGAATATAATGAGGATATCTTAAGTTAGTTCATATTTATTTAAGTGCCATATAATGTTACTTACTTTTTTTAGACTTGACTAAACAGAGACTAAGAAGTATGCAATGTAAAATAAATAAAAGATAATATAAAAATGTTTTTATTTATGAAAAAATTTTATTTATTTGTTCTTTCATCCTTTCAAACTTCACTGCTGATAATAGGGCTCCCCAGTCTCCATTGATTACCTCATATGGAGAGATTTTGCCATAATTAATTGACAGGAGGCATTTTTTTTTATAATTTTCAATTATCAGGAATATGAGCAGTATATTCTCTTTTGGTTTGTTTCCCTCAAGGTTTCGTCTCAGAAACAGGACCATAAAGATTTCTACTAGCTATACATAATGCTGCTATGTTTCCAATGGTAAGAGACAAGTTACTAAACTCTGGTGATGAGATCAGGAAACTTTTTAATCGATTCGTTGCGGCACCAACAAATATTTCATGACACGCCGGGCGTGTCAAGCGCCACAGACATCTGCCATGTGTAAATGTAATGTTCTTATTTATGCTTTTTTCACTTGTTTAAACCTAATTAAGTTTATTTGACATCAAACATAAGTTACAAATGGAAGGATACTTGTTTTTAGTGGGTAACTACGTGTTTTTTTAAGCGTTTTCTTTGAAATTGAGAGAAAGTGACTTTTTTTATAAAGAGATTACAAACCTTTTGTACTATTTTTGTTGTTATAAAAAAATCATTTATATAAGTAGGTACAGCTAAATCACCCTGGAAACCTTGGTTTATATTAAATTAAATTTCCACCTCATAATAACATTTGTAAATATCAAACAATGAAGAACCTTAATTTGAAGAAAAAAAAAGGTATATCATTCATTGATATTTACAAATGTTAAATATTATTAAATTTTATACAAATGTAAAAGTAAAGTCGATCTGAAAACGTCTAATTAGTAAGAATAGCAAAACAAGTGTTTTCAAAAGGAAAAAAACGCCGGCGCTATACGGCTGCGGATTGACAAAAGACTATTTTTATTAGCGAACTTTTTTCATGCATGAACGGTTTCGAACTGTTTCAAGCAAAAATAAACCCTATACCATATCACAAGAGCACATGGTACTTCGTAGGTCTTATTCGGCCATATGATAGTAATAAGACGGCAGTTCAACCATTTTAAGCAAAATTAAACAATAAGACAAACGCATTGTTTTTTTTAACAGGAGACTTGTTTTCCAGAAATTTATTTACAACTTGAGTTTGTGAGCGATCGCAATGAGTGCTAATTTGTTACTTATTAGACAATTTTTCCATAACATGATTTAAAACCCACAAAGTAAAAAGAGTACCATGTACACGTTAAAAAAAGGTTGTCAGCCCTAAAAATTTCAAATTTTCAAACTATCCAGAAACGAAGCTGCATGCATGAACTACTCGCAAAATAATGAATATTTTATTCTGGATAAATTTTCCAAAAAAGCAATTTGAGCGAGTTATAACGATTTTTAAAAAGACACGACTCACGTGTCATACGCCACACACAAAAGTAATCGATGGCACGCCTGGCGTGTCACCCGCACCCGGTTAACGGAGCACTGTTACCTTGGCCCTTTTCACAGAAACCTTTGACTCCCTGGGTAGTGAAAGGGACAGTTCAACAGGAAACTAATGTAGGGGAGTAAGTGTACTGATTATTTGTATCTTCGTGTAGAGAGAGTGATTTTAACTTGACTTTGATAGCTTCTATTATTACTTATTAACTGAGACTAATTTAGTACTGAGTGGATTGTATAATTTAAGACGGTGTAAAAGAAAAGGTGGGACAATTAAAAATACTATTTATTAACTGTTTTACAGAGCGCCAGTACAACCGACTATTTACAATAGGGATACTAGAGGGATTATTTCTTCTTGGTTTCTTGAGTCTTGATTCTTGATGTCTTCTCTGCCGCTTGGGAATCGAATGGCTTCCTGCCGCCTGATGCCCTTCTTCTATTCACGCGGCGGGTGTTTCTCTGTCGATGGGTTCCCACGCGGCATCACGTGATGTTCGGGGTGTGGTGCGTGGGGAGTAACGGGGCATTTGGAGGCGGCTGGGCGGCGGCTCTCTTCGCCATCCGCAACAGATAGTTAATGAGGCAATCTATCCTAGTCCTTCTTAGGCACTTAACTGGTGTCAGATTTACTGGACTGTTGCGTTTTTAGCTGTCCCTACACAAAATTTTAAATTAACAGCTAGGGATTTTGCTGTTTTGAACCGACTTCAAAAAACGAGGAGGTTTTCAATTCGACTGTATTTTTTTATGTGTGTTACCTCAGAACTATTTTATAAGGCCCGTCCTTGCCACCGAAAGGCGGGTATGCATAGGCATTTTCCATGTAAAAAAAGAAATTTTTCGACTAGGTAAGTCCAACGTCGATCGAGAGATTAACCGACGGATCCAACTCGGCAGTTATCTTGGTTAGTGGTGTCCATGTGCGGTGAAGTTCCTAAAGGAACTGTAGTGCGTGAGTCACTTCGAATGTGTGTTGGTAGGTTGCGGCGAGAGGAGTGACCTCTTCCGAGGTGGAGTCGCGGAGGAAGAGAAGTGTTGGTATGGCGATGCGCCGCTCACCTTACCCTCCGCAGAGCTTTAGTCGGTGCGAGTCCGACATTACCCGTCCTTCCCCCAGTGAGATGGATATGCATACCCAAGCAGCAAACAAGCGTTATGAACATCAACATACCAGCCCACATAGAACTTACAGTTCTTTTAGGAGCGTATAAGAGTGTTGAAGAGGTTGTTATTAGAGTGGCTTATGAGTTATTATACAGCTCAAGTTGTATAAAGCCTGTATTATGTGATCTACTTAAGCTTAGTGTTCATAATCAGAATTCAGAATATGAAAAGTCTAGTATACAACTTTAAGTATTTTGTAACACTTGAATCTCATTATATCATTAAAGCTGTATAGAAGCTGTTCTTTGCATGCTGTCACTTGCTTATACAGCTCTGTGTTATTATAATATTAGTCAATCATATTTCTAAACAATGGTATATGCAAACTCTCTTCTAAAACTTATTTTTATGGCATAATTGTACACTCTTGTAAATATTGTAGTTTTATTACTTCTGTCCAAATGCATGCGGCGGGACTTACGCAACTTTAATACTACTCGTATTGAAGACGCGATCTAGGGGAACCAGGGCTCCAAAGTCTTTGCTAGCGATCTGTGTGCCAGAAAGAACCAACTGTCTAAGCTGACGACCGAGTGTGGCAGCGTCGTTTCCGGGACACCTGAGATTTTGAGTGATAGGTTCTATGGGCACCTGTACACATAATCGTTGGAGCCACACGTAAGTGTGAGTAACGATCCAAGAGCGAGTCTTATCCGACACTATTCCGATGATATCCCGGATGTCAGTCTGAGCGATATTAGAATGGGTCTCTAGCACCTATAAAATTTCTGAGCTTCTGAAAGCGGGTGGAAAACGGGTACTTTAAGTCTTTCAGAAGATCTTTAATTCCGTCCTCCATGGTGGCATTACACCGGAGGCGTGGAGCAGAAGTGAGGTGGTCTTGTTCTTCAACAAAAGTAACAAAGCTCTCTTGAAGAACTACAGACCGATTTCCCTTCCGAGCCGCATCTACGTGTTGTTTTTGAGAATCATACGAATCGTCTCGCCCGCAGACTTGACGACTACCATCCTCCCGAACAAGCTGGTTTCCGAAAAGGCTTTAGCACCATAGACCATATACATACCCTTCGGAAAATTGTACAGAAGTCCGAGGAGTACAATTTGCTACTATGTCTGGCGTATGTGGACTATGAAAAAGCCTTTGATTCAGTCGAAATTTGGGCGTTGCTGCAGTCCCTTCAGCGGTGCCAAGTTGACTGTCGGTATATTGAAGTGCTGAAGTGCTTGTACAGTAGGGCTACGATGGCTATCCAAGTACAGAACCAGAGTACGAAACTTATCCAATTGCAGATAGGTGTAAGACAGGGTAACGTTATATCCCCGAAACTCTTCACCGCTGCATTGGAAGACGTTTCCAAGCTTCTGGACTGGAAAGGGTACAGTATTAACATCAATGGCGAGTACATCACTCACCTTCGATTTGCCGACGATATAGTTCTTATGGCAGAATCGCTGGAGGACTTTTTTTATATAGGATAAGGGTGACAAACGAGCACACAGTCCACCTGATGGTAAGTGGTTGCTGCGGCCAATAGACATCTAGATATATCCTCTATTACAAATCAAAATGTAGATGCGTTGTCATCCGTGAGGACTAAGATGGAATGCCTCATTTCCAGTAAAAAGGGCCTCCGGCCACCTGCACTCACCAAGCGAAACGCAGAGGTAAACCTCTACTTCACGCTGGTTTTCTGTGAGGTCGTGGTACCACCCCGGTTCGAGCCGGCCCATCCGTGCAACAGGAAAAGCTGCCGCATGGCTCTACCACTGTTGAAAGACAACAAGACTTAAGCACTATGCTCAATGACCTCACTAGTGTTTCCCAACGGATCAGTCTTAAGATGAACATGGACAAAACAAAGATCATGTTTAATGTCCATGTCACACCTATGCCGGTAGTTGTTGGGAGCACTAAGCTCGAAGTTGTTAAAGTTGTTGATCGAGTATGTTTACCTGAGACAAATAGTGCGACTAGGTAAGTCCAACTTCGACCGAGAGGTCAATCGACGGATTCAACTCGGTTGGGCAGCGTTCGGGAAATTACGGTACATCTTCTCGTTAGGTATACCTTAAAACTTGAAAACGAGACTGTACAACCAGTGCGTGTTGCCAGTTATGACTTATGGAACTGAGACGTGGTCCTTCACTGCTGGGTGGATGAGGAAGCTCAAGGTCGCTCAGCGAGCTATGGAGAGGGCTATGCTCGGAGTTTCTCTGCGTGATAAACTTAGAAATGAGGATATCCGCAGTAGAACCAGAGTAACCGACATAGCCCAATGGATTAGTAACGTTACGAACTTGGGGTTCGAGACAATTAAAAACTGCCAATTGAATTACCAAAATTGACACTTTAATTACAGAACACTAACTACAATTTAAAACCACACTAATAATAAAACACAATTGTACTACTGCTCACTTTAAGTTGTGTATCGCCAGCAACGCAAAGTCGGGAATTTGCATTTGGAAAAATCCAAAATTAGGGGCTTTTTAGGTGCTAATTAGGTGCCATGTTTAAAAATTAGGTGCTCTAAAATTTTCACCGCAACGAACTGTTGAAATTTGCGTTGCTAGCAAAACGTCTCGCTAGCAACGCAATGTAGTTATTAGATATACGAAAAATATTAATAGCAAGGAATTAAGTGCTAATTAGGTGCTGCCAGTATAGGCAATGACAGGACGCTCCAGATAAAAATAAAATCGTTATTCAGAAAATTATTCAGCAAAGCAAATGCAAAAATCAGGTCTTTGTCTTTGTGCCATCTAGCGTCTATCGCACTTACCACCTTTAGAGTCCATCGATTTTGATTCGATAAAATGACTAGAATTATTATTTTAACTAGACTAGACTAGAATAATTATTAGTTATTTTTAGTAAATCCTACGATGAAATATAAATGATATGTTTAATTCATATTTGTAACAAATAAATGTAATAAAATGTAAAATAATTTTTAAACTAGGTAACGATTAAAAAATTGTTTTAAATTGTTTTAACATAATAATTAAAAAAAACCCTAATGAATGGGTGTTGAGTGGTATTGAGCGACAAAATTTTGCGATTTCACCCGTTAGATTATTTACTCGTTTTACCCTTGCGTCCCGCACGGAGACGGAGTAGTACGGCGAACGGCGGAACTACAAATACAAACTACTACCACAGTCTATAAATCTATACTGTGCTTCTACTAGGTATAACTCGTTTGGGGTCAATGTGCGGTCAAGTCAAGCACACCGTGATCGCTTCGACGACAAAACATACTACAGTGGATTTCGGGTATAACGACGATGAAGGGACCACTCCATTTTCGTCGTTATATCCGGAAGTCGTTACAGGCAAAGGTAACAAATTCAATACATTACAGTTGCTACTCAGAATATCACTTTGTAACTGAACCATAAACTTAACTCCGAAACCTACACGCTTCCTTACCTACTTAGCTGATATCTATAAACAATAGGTAAAGGTCTCCACACATGCTGACCATCTATATGGATGTAAACAAAAGATAAGTAATGTTTGTGAAAGAAAGAAATCTTTGTGTCTTTGGCGGCCGATTCCGGTCGCAATATCTGCATGGGATTTCTAGGAATTTGTTACAAATGATTCATTAAGAATAGTCGCTACACCCGAACTCGGTGTTACATCCAAAGTCGTTATAGCCACATGAATTTTGTACTAAAATATGCTTTAAACTCAAGGGACTTAGATTTCAACGTCTCTATAGGTAAATGGTCGCTACAACCAAGGTCGTAATAAATGAAATCCACTGTATTTCATTCTTTATTCTTCAAATTATCTTTGTAAGCTGTATGATGTGTCTATATATAGTTTCTGGGGTACCGTACTTAGTTATGTACATAAAAAATATGTAAATATACATACTGCTTACAATCATGTATGTAATGTAACACAATTAACAACATAAAACAAATTAGAAATAGCTTGGTAGTAATCACCTTATTCCCAGGGGTTATTATCATCCATAAATTCCTTAATATTATAATAACCCTTTTTATACAAACTTAGTTTACTAAAGTTTCTGAACATTGAGCTGGTTTTGTATATTTTCTGGGATTTTGTTAAGTTGTGTGTATATTGTGTGTAAGTGTGATATATTAAGTTAATGCTCTCATTGAATAATATTAACAATATTGAGAACACAATAAAATATGTTCTTAATTAGCGAGTAACTTTTTATGGGTATTTCTTATCGTTAAATTATTGATTTTTATTGATAACATAATATTATAATATTTTTATTAGTGATCGATGACTGATAAAGAACAAAAAATACCGTTCATACATTATGGTAAGGTAATGGTGGTCGTGGACCCTATAATTCCCAGAATAATATCTTAATCTTTATCGGGTCTCGATAATCGCTCAGCACTTAATTAGCACTTAATTCCTTGCTATTAATATTTATCGTATATCTAGTAACGTCATTGCGTTGCTAGCTTGCTAGCGAGACGTTATGCCAGCAACGCAGATTTCAATGGTTCGTTGCGGTGAAAATTTTGGTGCAACTAATTTTTAAACTTGGTACCTAATTAGCACCTAAAAAGCCCCTAATTTTGTATTTTTCCAAATGCAAATTCCTGAATTTGCGTTGCTGGCGAGACACAACTCTTGAATTTTGCTATAGCGCCGCAAACAATCCCGTACGAGGAAATTATCTGTAGTGTTGAGGATTGTCTGTTTAAGAATAATATCGGTAAACAGGATTTAGAGGCTATACGTCAAGACATTTCGTCCTTGTTACGTCGAAGTTCAGCGCCGAAACTAAATTTCCCCAAAGACGAATTTAAATCGTTGTACAACTTACGCAACAGACCAGAGCTCACGATTCTCCGCGCGGATAAAGGAAATGCTACGGTAATAATGGACACGTCAGAGTATAATTTCAAAATACAACAACTTTTATCGGACGTAAGTACATTCAAAAAGGTCAAAATAGACCCTACAACTAATACACTTAAAACAACTACTGATTTAATAAAGAAATACTCCGAAAAATTAGATCTCGACGTGAATTCGACAATACTATCATGTGCCAAACCACCGAGCTTGTATGGGTTACCGAAAATACACAAATCAAACGCTCCACTACGTCCTATAGTAGGCCAGATCGATTCACCAACTTATAAGTTGGCTCAACACTTGCCAAAACTACTGCCACCACTAAGAGGATATACCAGAGCACACACAAAGGATTCATACCATTTTGTTAGTGAGATAAAAGACCTACATCTCGCTGACAATGAAACTATGGTCAGTTTTGATGTTCAGTCACTATTCACATGCCCACCTATTGAAGACTGCATCTCAATTGTTACTAGAAAGCTAGAAGACAACAACATGTCCACAGAATATGCAGTATTACTCAAACACTGCCTCACATCTGGCTATTTATTGTGGAAAGAAGAGTTCTACATGCAAGTAGACGGAGTGGCAATGGGCTCACCTGTATCTCCCGTAGTCGCCGACTACCTTTAGGGACACTTTTCATATATAGAGATGGTCCTCCTTCTCTCTACACTCCATAATCATAATCTCTATCCTCTATCTACGCCTGACATACAGCACATAGACATAGATAAATAAATATGTAGGTAGCAGCTTGCTAAAAAAAGACATTGACAATTTGACTCAGAACAATAACTAAAGCATAGAAGGAGCCTGTCTAACAGCTATATAATATACATCTCTTTTTTTTTTCAATATATGTCAGAAAGAGATAAATAAAAGTTTGTCAATAGGTACCAATGTACATTCGGCAAATTTCATTTTGGATACCTTAGTTACCTTTGTGCTACTAATTTAAAAACTAAGATTTAAAAAAGTTTTTTTATCTATGACTATGTTTATCTTAAACTGTACGTATAATACGCTGGCTTGTTTCAGGTTGTCAGTCTGTGTTAAAATTGAATTTTCGTTTGGAAATTATAATTTTTTCGCAGTGTGGAAGTGTGAATCGAAAAATTTATAAAAAGAACAATGTCCTGCATTATAGTGGGATGTAAATCCCATTCATCTAGAAAAGAAAACGACTCCGAAAACATTAGCTTTCACCGGTAAGTCATTGTTACAACATTTGAAACGATTTACGAGCATTTTCAATTGATAGAAATTCACGTCTTTTGTCATTTTACTATAAATCGAATAATCTTTTAATAAATTAAGTTTAAGTAATAAAATTAAATATTTGTTGTTTAAAATATTGAGTTAAAATTTTGGCAATAGTGTTGCAAAAATATATCTCTAGTATAAATTATCGATAGTTTACGATTAAATTACAGTTTTCCTACGGACATCAATTTAAGACAAAAATGGATCGACGCTATTGCACGTTGCAACTGGGAGCGGAAAAAGCACCACCGTATTTGTGCCAGACATTTTAAAGATGACTGCTTTATAAATTTTGAACACAATGGTGCAAGTTGAAATTAAATGCTATACAGTAAGATCCTTTTCACAATAAATCTGTTTATAGTTTTGATTTGTTTAATAATTATATTACTGATTACGCGGTGTTGATATTTTGACTGTTTACATTAAGTATCCCACCCTTAAAATTCAAAATTGTTTATTATTATTTTCCCCATTGTTTATTTCGTTTAATTCATACATTTCCTATGATGCAAAAATAACAAAATTACTAAATTGTTCTAGAACTATAGCAGCCCTACATCTACACTGGCGACTGCATCAACATCCAGTGTGTCTGAAAAGAATATTGCATCAACATTCAGTGCAATACCGACAATTGCACTAACAACATCCAGTGCAACATCAACAGTTAGATTTAGTTCGACACCAAGTCAGCAAGAATTAATTAGTTGTATATCTAAATTAGAACAGGATTTAGAACTTTAAGCTATTTATCACCGCGAGCATACGAGTATGTGCGCAATGAATTAAAAGATATTTTTCCACACCCAAAAACAATATGCAAGTGGTACCAATGTATCCAATGTGATCCAGGATTCACTACAGAGGCCTTTGAATCTATTGAAGAAAGGGTAATATTAAATAATAATAAACCTTTATATGTAGCGTTATCATTCGATGAAATGGCTATTCGCAAGTTGGTCTAATGGGACGAAAAAAAATATTTTGCGTATGTCAATATCGGATGTGACTTGGATTCACAAGATATACCACTTGCTAAAGAAGCATTAACTTTTATAATACCTGCCCTAAATGACACCTGGAAAATACCTGTGGGCTACTTTCTTATTGACTCAATCACCGCACAGCAAAAATCTCTATTAGTACAGAAATGTATATCACTACTAAAAAATTCTGGAGTTGAAGTTGTGTCGCTCAATTTTGACGGTGCTTCAACCATTAAAGCAATGTGCAATATTTTGGAGTGCAATGTCGATGCACTCAATTATTCTTTTAAAGCTAATGATGATGAGGTAGTATATCTGTGGCCAGATCCTTGCCATAACATCAAATTAATACGTAACACATTTGGGGACAAAATAGTTCTAATTGACATACACGGGAAAACAATTTCTTGGCAGTTATTAGAATTGTTAGACAAAATTCAAAGCAGTGAAGGGCTCTATTTGGCTACTCAAATAAAAACTGAACATATTAACTATGTAAAGCAGAAAATGAAAGTACGTTTAGCTACCCAACTTCTCAGCGCATCAGTAGCTCTGGAATTTTGTAAATCACTCGGAATCCCTGGATTTGCTAATTGTACAATACAATTTATTAGAATATTTAATAACCTATTTGATATAATGAATAGCCCAAATATGCCGGCAAAAGTGCGTTAGCATTATTTAACTTTGACGAAACCAAAATATTTTTTGAGTTCGCTAAAGAATATATAAAAAATTTAAACTTTACAGATGGCTCGTTCGTTATTAATTCTAAAAGATCCACAGGTTTTCGAGGATTTATAATTTGCATGGACTCTTTAGTTGGTTTGTACCAAAAATATGTCCTCCCAGAAAATAGTTTTTTAAAATATCTGTGTACCTATAAGTTCAGCCAAGACCATATTGAACTGTTTTACGGAGCCATAAGATCTAAATGTGGTTTTAATAATAACCCATCGGCAAAAATGTACAGGGTTGCTTACAAACGGTTGCTGGTACATGCAGAGCTAAAATATGGTTCAACAGGGAATTGTCTTCCTCTAGAAAATATAACAATGTTAAATTACAATAATAAAAATATAAACAATTATTAAAATCATCTACTGGAAATGGTAGACTAATTGACTTGCCTAATGTGAACATTAATTCCGAGAATTAGTCTGACCATGATTAAATTTTTCGTGCCTCAAATTTAACAGAATACGCACAACACGTAGTAGATTATATAGCTGGTTATGTAGTCAGAAAAATAAAAAAGGAAGTCATATGTGAAAAATGCCTCCAAAGTTTGGAAAATGACAGTGCTGAGAATCCGTTTTCTTTGATATCTATTAAAGAGAGAGGAGGCCTGACTAAACCTTCGGAAGGTGTAAAAAAGGTGTGTAAAACTGCAGAAAAATACTGCGTATTTTTCTGCAGTTTTATTTATTATTTATATTTGAGTTTGAAATTAGAATAGGCTCCAAATTCTTAGGACAGCCTAAATATATTTAAATAATGATTAATAAAATATCGCAAATAATATTGCCAACATCTATATTCAGTGATTTAGACGAGCATTCGTTTGACAATGATTTACTGGACGATCATAAAAACTTGTTTTTTCATTAGTTTGGTTAAAAAAAAATTAAATACTCGAACGCTACGGAAATTACGGCCCAGCCCGCCGCGCCACCTTAGTATAATAATGATAGTCATGTACAGATATCAAACTCCGAAAATCACTGACAATCCATATCACAAATCTGAGGATATAATTCCACGCTTTCATGATTACCATAGACAAAAATACCAGTACCGATATCGGCATTAATTATTTGTACTGGGACATCACTAGTTAATACTCTTGTGTCTATGACAGTGTACGTTTTAATTATGGAGTGTAGAGTAGAAGGAGGACCATCTCTGTATATGAAAAGTGTCCCTAAAAACGTGTCCAATAAGGGTGGCGCTGCAGTAGCATAGGATAAATTAAAAAAGAAGCGCCAAAAGTATTTAGAATAAGATCGAGAAATAAACAAGGACCGACCAATCCGCTTGGTTTTGTACTACGTAAATAGTTGAGGTTTTGTATACTGGCGTTTTACTAACTACTCTAGTCATAAAATTTTTTAAATATTTTAATTCAGCTGACTTCACTCCGTCTACAACAGCTATCTTCATATCGTAGTTTTTCAGACGCCAGCGCTATTGTGGTAAGTTTTGGAACCCCTATTTTCAGTATATATTGGGACACTTTCAACTTTCGCACCTTATAAGATGGTTCTCCTTCTACTCTACACTCCATAGTTTTAATAATCTAGTAATACTTATATGGTCTATGCTTTAGTTACTGTTCTGAGTAGCAAGTATGGAGTGTAGAGTACTAGGAGAACCATCTTATAAGGGGCGAAAGTTGAAACAAAAAGTGTCCTACTATTTACTGAAAATAGTAGTTCCATTACCTACCAAAATAGCGCTGACGTCTGAAAAACTACGATATGAAGATAGCTGTTGTAGACGGAGTGAAGTCAGCTGAATTCAAATATTTAAAAAATTTCATGACTATAGTAGTTAGTAAAATGTCAGTATACAAAAACTCAACTATTTACGTAGTAAAAAACCAAGCGGATTGGTCGGTCCTTGTTTATTTCTCCATCTTCTTATTCTAATTAGTAGGAGCTGTTTTTAAAGTTATCCTATGCTACTGCAGCGCCACCCTTATTGGACACGTTTTTAGGGACACTTTTCATATATAGAGATGGTCCTCCTCACGGAATATAAAAAACAAGAGGAATCCCAAAGTGGGCGGGGCAGGCGAGTCACAATTAGCGACAGTAGAACATAATTGACTGTCAGTCGCAGGCTAAATTTGTCGCGAACTAACGGGTAACTACTTCAGTAATATATGCAAAAATATGCCGTTTTGTGCAGTATTAGAGTGTAGAAACAATAGTAAAAATATAAATGTTTCAAATGGAGGTGTTTCGTACCACAGGTACGTGTAATTTTATTTATTTTTGCAAAGAAACGTGAACAAACATGGACAAAATATGAAATTGCCTATATTTCAAGGAATATTCAACCTTATTCCGTTATTCTAACGCTTATCTGTCAAAGCGTTATTAATAAAAATGTTGCGATAGTGTTGTGACGATATTAAAATCGATAATTTTTTATCTCCGTCCCGTTTATTCACTAACATATTAATGAAAATGTGCAAATACTGGATGTCTTTGAAAATATAAAAAAATTATAGGGTGATACTGTCACCTTATGAATGAACATTTTATTAGGGTTGTTAAACCAGAGAAGTAAGTAACTTAGTAATACTCATAAAAATAACGCATTATTAATTTGTAAATAATCATTTACAAGGAGAACAACCTGTTGTGCGTTTTCAGGTTTCCTAAAGATGGCTCGATCAAGGAAGCTTGGGTTAAGGCAACTGGCAGGCAAAACTGGTTGCCATTTAAAAGTAGCAGCATATGCTCGGAGCACTTTACTGAAAGTGATTTCTTAATATCGAAACGAGGATACCATTATTTAAAAACTTCGTCAGTACCTACAAAAAAGATTTTGTCTTATATTGAAGTAAGTTAATCCAGACTATTTTAGTTCATATATTAAGTAGTAATAAGTTTTGAGAGCTTAATGTAAAAATATATAAAACGAAACTTCAATGTAGCGGCTTTTTATTTTTATTTTGTTTGTGATAAAATGTGAGATAGTTCATACTGAATCCTTTCTGTTTCAGAATAAACATTGCATTGTCACAACAATGGTTGGGACTTCAAAAAGACAACTTAAATTGGATAATTTAGATTCTCAGCCTACTAAGAAAGCTCGTATTCTAAATGATAATAACAATAACGAAGAAAAAGTGAAATCAAAGTACTTAAAAGATATAGACTGTAAAGTCATCGAAGATATAGCACATAATTTTGAGCCAATTGCAGAAACTTTTGTAGAAACAAAAGTTCTACCTAACAAAAGCTCCGATAGGAACCATCAAAATGGGAATTACATGTTTTCGCAAATTCCAGACAGTAAAATGCTAAATTTACAGGATTACGTAGCATTAGAAACTCACCCAATATTTAAAACTGTTGGGGTCAACGAAGACGTGGGAAGTTCAACGTTTTCAACGCCAAGAAAACAAAAATTGAGACGTATGTTAAGATGGTCCGAAGAAAAGATTAAAAATCAGAATTTAAAGATAAAGCGATTACAAAGTCAAAACCGAAGATTAAAGAAGAAAATAACAAGCATTGAAGAACTATTAGAAACATTACAAAATAAATTTGCCATGGAGAAGGAAAACCTAGCTAACTTAAAAAATACCAATATAGAGGTATGTATTATAAACTATAAATACTTGACTGTTATTTTTATGGTACTCATATGATGTCATATCATCATTCACGGGAATAGATGGGGTAGTACTATTTATTGCCGTAACTAAACAGGGTAATAATACTGGTTGGTAATTGTTACAGATTCAAGAATTAATTGTTCGAGAAGTTAAAAATGCTGACTCTGGAGTTGTATCAAGACAAAAATATTCTGCAGCTCTCCGCAGCTTCGCTCTAACCTTGCATTATTACTCGCCTAGAGCATACGACTACGTACGCAAAATATTTCATGCAAGCCTACCACATTCACATACTCTAAAAAGTGGTATTTAAAAATAGGCGGGGAGCCAGGATTTACCAAAGAGCCTTTTATGGCTCTAAAACTTAAAGCCGATACATTTCAACAGCCACTGCTAGCCACATT